TGTCTGTCCTAGGGGTAGCCCGGGCCTGCTATACGCAGTTAAGGTAGCTGTAGGAATTCGAGTTAGTACTGGGCCTATATTTTCCCAGATTTGCAGATATGTCCCTCACGAATTTCCTTACAGGTAGGTCTCTCGGTTAGCCCTCAGCCAAACAAAATTGCGAATCTAACCTACTGCTGTACTATACAGCCTCGCAGTCAGTCTCGGCAGTAGAAATCAGCAAGTCATTGCAGTTGGGGCATTTGTGCACCCACTGTGAAAAGCTGCTGGGCTTGCATGAAGGGCAATTTGATTCTGTGCTCGTTGTTGAATATTCTAGCTTTCTCTACCGGCAAAGAACCTTTGTCACGCCAAAGTATCCAGAGGAAGTTTGCTGCCCAAACTCAATCTTTTAGTGTTGTGGGATAAAATGATAGCACTGCTTTTCGGGCTGGTTTTACGGCAGGAGTGGTAGATATGGCCAGTGTGACCTTTCTGGTGAGAACATGAGGGAAAGCCAGGGCTTTGCCTGGTTGGAGAAGGCATTCAAGCACTACCTTCTTCACCTGAACAGAATGCCCGGTCATTATCGGACTGAAAGTCGTGCCAAATACAGCCTGTGTAACCGCGATGAGCGCCCTGAGCGCTCGAGCGCATGTTTAAACGCGTGCTCAAACCACTTTTCACACAAAAATTGAGCGCACGGCCATGCGCGAGCCCTTGGGAACCCCCCCATGACAAAAAAAAAAAAGAAAAATATATATTTTTGGGGGGGGGCAGGAATTGGGGGTGAGGGAGGTCAAAACAAGAAGCAAAAAAAAAGAATTGATTGATTGATTAAAGATTGGTTGATTGCGCAAAGAGGGGGAAGGGGGGGGAGAGAGAGAGAGAGAGAGAGAGAGAAGAGAAGCGTCTCCCTCTGTTGCCTGTTCATTCGCGTGTGCGACTCACACAAACACACAGATGTGCTTGTGGAGAGGTGCAGAAAATTGCGTCTGCACGTCTCGTCAAAGAAATCCAGATTCAGGCCAAGCATATCAAATTCATGCCGGAATCTGGACGTGTTTGTAGAAAGACGCAGGGGGTTCCTCGATTTATGCACGTCATTCTTTGTGCAGGGACTATGCTAATCTTCTTTCTCTGTATCGTTCCAATTTTAACGGATGTCCCCAATAACTAATGCGTCAGTCCTCTCTCTCTCTCTCTCTCTCTCTCTCTCTCTCTCTCTCTCTCTCTCTCTCTCTCTCTCTCTCTCTCTCTCTCTCTC